CTGATGAACCTTTTCTCCAGAGGAGTCTCTTTGGGGACCAGGGGACGCCTCCCATGCACGTTGTCTTCTAACAGCTTGTGTTGACTCCTAACTAAGCTGGCTGATTTCATTACAACCAGCTCACACCGTGGTTGCAGTGATTTCTGTGGCCCTATTTATATAACCATATATCTCATCACTCTTTATATTGTGTATTGAAGTACCACTCCTTTTTTAAAACTAAAAATCTAACAGCATTTATTCTCCAAAAGACCAACCAACTTGTTCATTTCCATTAAAAAAAAAAAAAAGTGTGACTAGCAAAAATGTTTTATGCTAGAAATAGTTTTAACCATACTGACAGCAACTAAAACCAAAAAGACGAGGTGCAAAGGGGGGTGAGGGATGGTGAGCATTTGTTGGGTTTCTGGTATATTCCAGCCACCATACTAGGTGCTTCATGAATGTGATCTGGCATCTTCCTCCACACACTTTTAGGAAGCTGTTGATGATGTTCATTTTGCACCATAACAAGGAAACGGAAGCTTGGAGAGGCTAGACTCTGCCTGTGCTTCCCCACAGTCAGGAACCAACCGGAAGGGCAGAGACTTGAGACCTTGGCACCAGGCTATCCTATCTCCTCAGCCAGGGGATACGTTACAATTAAATGACAGCTATCTCCCCACCTCCACTATATACCCAGGCAGTGCTCAGATTAAATGGGGGGATGTGGGAAAGAACAGAAGCCACTTGATCTTTGCGTGTGTGCTGATTTACAGATCAAAGAAGGCTACAGGAAGTTAGGCTAACACCGTTGTTGCAGCGTTTCCCCCAAATTTCACTAACCACCTTCTATCTGGATCTTGAAATATGGTGAGGTTCCTTCCAGTTAATCACAAGAAATTGTCTCTAAGACCCTGTATGAAAAGTATTCAAAGTCATTTATTTCTCAACGCAGAGGTTCCCGTGGATGAACGCACCCATTCAAGTTGGGTTAGTTGGCTTCTGGTGAGTAGAAATTACTTTTACATAATTAATTTCTTTTTAAAATATAAATACACAGCGTATGAAAGGTGACTGGGTAATATGGGATACAAATTTTGAAAATGAGCCATCTCAGAACGTCTGGAATGCATGGCCCCAGATAATAAACTGTCTTTAGAGGAACCTACAACATGGGGGCTATTCGTGTGATTCTTTTTTAAATTGTTTTATCTCTGTGACTTTTCCATTATTTTGGCAATCCTAGGTAATAAAACTTACACAAACAGGACTTATTTTTGTTAGACAACACAGAACATAATGCTCTGAAGAAAGAAGGGATTGTTGTAAAATAGAAAAATAATCTGAAAAGTTAACCATTTAAAATGGTCTGACCTTTTTTTGTGTTTTTTTTTAAGTTTGGTGTTTGCTACACCCCTGTGTTGTGCCCTGTTTCCTCAGAAAAGGTATGTATTTGTTATTCTTCAGAATAATCATGAGTTTTAATCCTAAAAACCAATGGAAGGTGCAGGTGCCATTATTCCATTTCATTGGCAGGGAAGTTGAGACTCAAAAGATACTGAAGCCAGGGTCTCTAAAAGGAAGGGATGGAGGCAGAAATCAAACCCACATCTGCCTAATTTCAGATGTACCCAGTTCTTTTCTACCCCCTTCCATTAAATTTTAAAACGCTTTATTCTTTTATAAGAATCAGATTAACTCTGGTGCAAATTTGCTTTTATGAAAATTTAAAATATGGTCCAATCCATTGGCAAATGCATCTGTAATACAGATATGATAGGATGTAAGTTCCGCCCCCAGGGACAGCAATTATATGCACTTAGCTTAGGTGGTTGGTATATTTGCTTCCCTTCTTCCCACTTAGTTTTTTGCCTTAAAAGCTTTCTCGTGCATGCCTTTCATCACAAGCTGCCCTTGAATCCTGCCTGTGATGTGAGAACAGGACTAACTGGCATTAAATCGGCATTTTCGACATCAAGTCTCCAGCCTGCTCTTGACCTGACACCAACATGCAAAGCGGCGGCATTTTGTTGTCTGTCGTTTTCTGTGTTATCAGGCCCCTTGCCATGGTAATACCCTTTCCTTCGTGGGCCGGTAGGTCCCAAACATACGGTCTTTAATCCCCTGGCCTTGCGGAGTCGGTTTTGGATGAAGTGTCTGTTCTAGAACTAATGCGGTCACATCCCTCTCCCTGATGGAGAACTCCACCTTGTATCTGCTCTCCCACTCTGTCTCCGACCCAGCTGTTTTTGAATAGACATTTAAACCTCATGGACAGGAGCCCTTTATCACCTTGGGCCTGCTGAGGAGCCCCCCGTGAAGAGGGCAGGACCTTCAGAACTTGCTCTGGGAGCCTGATTCAGATGAATTTCCTCATCTCTACAGTGGGATAATGATACCTGTTTAACTGCACAAACCCCAGAGTCTTGGGGCTCAACCTGAGAATGTCCATGTCTATAGTATGTGGGCTTATGAACACTGGTGTGCAGCAGCTGACCCTGATTTAGCAAGTTAGACTTCGAGCACGTAAAATGCCGAGGGGCGTGCCTGATACCAAGGAAACGCCTAAGAAATGTAGCTGTAATTATTTTCAGGTTGAAAAGATTTTAGATTTGAAAACCCATAGAGAAACTTTCTACTTTGGCCTTGATTTTCTTGGAGTGCTGCGAGAAAAAAAATATATATAGTCTAACATTTATTTTTTAAGATTCATTTAAACTCTAGGTGTAGAAATGAAAAGCTTTCTGTAACTACTAGTGTCCTCAGGTCAAGGCCCTCAGAAAGCGTGTGGTTTTACATTTGTGAAACCAATGGTCTTTTGTTTTACTGTATTTTAAAATAACTTCTTACTCTGTTTTATTGTTTGTATGTTTGGCTTCTTTAGGTCCCTGGCTCCTCGGTTTCATAGAGTAGGATTAATAATATTCCTTGGCTTGTAATATAGTATCCTCATTGATCCAAGCATGACCCTGTTTTCCTTATTTTTATTTTATTTATACTAGTAATATAATGAACATCCACAAATTCGGTGCCCAATGAGGCAGGAGAATCACTTGAACCCAGGAGGTGGAGGCTGTGGTGAGCCAAGATCACGTCACTGCATTCCAGCCTGGGCAACAGTGTGAGATTCCATCTCAAAAATATATATATATATATGTATATTTATCTCCAGTAAGTTACATCTTATAGACTCCTCCCAACCTGTGTCCCTGCCTCCCCTGCAGATTTAACCACTATACTGAATTTCATGCTCTTGCATTTTATATTTGTGTATGTATCTTTAGTTTGGCTTCTTAGGAACTTGTTAGACAAGGGTGTCACACTATCATAAGATATATAGTCTTCTAGTACTTGTTCTTTTTATTCAGTATCAGAACTAAGATACATCTACATTATTGCGTGTACCTGTAGTCCATTCGTTGCTATTGTTGTATCATAGTGCATTGTATGAATGCGCCACAGTTGCCCATCTCCCATGTGAACAAGTGATAATGAAAACATTCTTTATTAACATTTTTGAGAAGCAGCAAATGTGTTGCTTTGAGAGATATTTATAGCTTTAAATGTTTATATTTTGAATAATGGATAAAAATCAATGCACTAAATGTCCAACTTAACTTAAAAAAAAGCACAAAAGAATAAACATCAGAAAAGAAGGAAGGAAGGAGATTAAGATCAGAAATAAATAACAGAAAGAGTAGAGGATCAACAAAGTGAAAACTTGGTTCTTTGAAAATAGAAACAAAATAGGCCGGGCGTGGTGGCTCAAGCCTGTAATCCCAGCACTTTGGGAGGCCGAGATGGGAGGATCACGACATCAGGAGATCGAGACCATCCTGGCTGACACGGTGAAACCCCGTCTCTACTAAAAAAATACAAAAAACTAGCCGGGCGATGTGGCGGGCGCCTGTAGTCCCAGCTACTCGGGAGGCTGAGGCAGGAGAATGGTGAACCCGGGAGGCGGAGCTTGCAGTGAGCTGAGATCCAGCCACTGCACTCCAGCCTGCGCAACAGAGCGAGACTCCACCTCAAAAAAAAAAAGAAAGAAAAAAGAAAATAGAAACAAAATAGACAATTGTCTGGTGAGATTAATCAAAACAAAAAGAGAGAGAAAAGCACAAATAATATGAATGAAAAAGAGGCATAACTGTAGATTCAGCAGTGATTAAAAATAATATCAACATTATACCAATAGATTTGAAAACAGGCAAAATAGACAAATTTCTGGGAAAAATATTAGCAAAGCTGAAAAATTAAAAAGTCAGAATAAGCAAGATAGTCATTAAGGAAGCTGAAGCAGCATTTAATCTTCCTCCTACAAAGAAAACACAAGAAACAGGTAGTTTTACAGGTAAGTTTTTCCAGCTGTCAAGAAACAGATTATTCCAATTTTGAACAAACTCTCCTGGAAGATAAAAAAGAGAACACTCCCCACCATCCACCAAGGTTTGAATAACTTTAATTCCAAGATCAGACTTGGGCCTTTAACATACATTCGTAGTAATTACAGATACTTAGAGATCAATGGCAAAACAGAACGACCAAGAGGCGGCATAACAGGGCTTCGGGATCAAGAAAGATCTGCCTTCAGCATCTCAGTTGCACCTCAGGTTTCCTTACCTGTACAATTATGATAATACTGGACTTCTAGAGTTTTCATAAGGATTAAAATGCATAATGTCTGGCCCAGCAAATGAGCAATAAGTCATAGCCATTATCATTACCATCATCAATGTCATCATTGAGTAAAATGACTCAAAGACCCACTACCTAAGCAGTAGCCATCGTGGGATTTTTTTTTCCTACCTTTTTTCTATATTCGTAATTGTTAAAATTTGTTTTACATATTTGAAATATAAACTTGTATCCTGACTTTTTTTTAACCTTACAGTCTATCACGTGTCAACTATATTAAATACCAATTTTTTTATTGTTTTTTAGAGACAGGGTCTCACTGTCTTGCCCAGGTTGGAGTGCAGTGGCACAGTCATAGCTTACTACAGCCTTGAACTTCTGGGCTCAAGCAATCCTCCTATCTCTGCATCCTGAATAGCTGGGGCCACAGGCATACACCAACACACCTGTCTTATTTTTTATTTTGATAGATACAAAAATTTGGGTCTCACTAGGTTACCCAGGCTGGTCTCAAACTGCTGGCCTCAAGACATCCTCCTGCTTCAGCCTCCCAAAGCTCTGAGATTACAGGTGTGAGCCACTGCGCCCAGCCTCAATTTTTTTTTTAAACTAATTACATATCAAAATATTAGCAGTTTTTCTGGTAGGTATTCTGGACAATTTTCTTTATACTTTAATGAGTATGTATTTCTCTCAAAGAATAAGCTTTTTTATATATATATATATA